GAGTTTGAAAGAGTCTGAAGGGCCTTTACGGCCTTTTTTAAAATTTGAAAAACCTTGAAGATTTTTTGTTCTTTCTCTTTGAAACAGTTTGAAAAGATCTTGGGGGCTCTTGATTTTTTACTTTTAAAACAGTTTGAAAGAGTCTTGGGAGTCTTTAGTGTCTTTTTAGGAATGTGGAAAAACCTTGAAGATCCTTAGTGTCTTTATTTTTAAAAAACATGACGGAATCTTGAAATTTTTTTATTTTTTCTTTGAAACAATTTAAAAAGATCTTGGAGGTTCTCGACGTTATATTTTTAAAAAATTGAAAGAGTCTTAAGAGCCTTTAGGATCTTGTTTAAGAATATGAAAAAAAGTAGGGGCCTTGGTGTCTTAATTTTAAGGGATGTGACGGTATCTTGAATATTTTTTGTGTTTTCTCTTTGAAACAATTTTGAAAAGATCTTGGAGGCACCTGTCGTTTTATTTTTAAAAGAGTTGGAAAGAGTCTTGGAAGCCTTTAGGGTCTTTTTTAAGAATACAAAAAAACCTTGAAGATCGCTAGTTTTTTTATTTTTATTTTTTAAAAATGTGACGGAATTTCGATAATTTTTTGTGTTTTCTTTTTGAAACAATTTGAAAAGACCTTGGAGGCTTTTGACGTTTTATTTTTCAAAGAGTTCGAAAGAGTCTTAAGGGTCTCTAGGATCTTTTGTTTAATACAAAAACATATTGAAGATTTTTTTGAAACAATTTAAAAAGGATCTTGGATACTCTTGATGTTTTTTTTAAGAGTTTGAAAGAGTCTTAAGGGCCTTTATGGCCTTTTTTAAAATATGAAAAACCTTCAAGATTTTTTGTGCTTTCTCTTTGAAACAAGTTGAAAAGATCTTGGAAGCTCTGGATGTTTTATTTTTAAAACAGTTTGAAAGAGTCTTGGTGGTCTTTAGTGCCTCTTTAGGAATGTGGAAAAACCTTGAAGATCCCTAGTGTCTTTATTTTTTAAAAATATGACGAAATATTGAATTTATTTTATTTTCTCTTTGAAACAATTTAAAAAGATCTTGGAGGTTCTCGACGTTATATTTTTAAAGAATTTGAAAGAGTCTTAAGAGACTTTAGGATCTTGGTTAAGAATATGAAAAACAAACGGGCCTTGGTGTCTTAATTTTAAGAGATGTGACGGTATCTTGAATATTTTTTGTGCTTCCTCTTTGAAAAAATTTTGAAAAGATCTTGGAGGCACCTGTCGTTTTATTTTTAAAAGAGTTGGAAAGAGTCTTGGAAGCCTTTAGGGTCTTTTTTAAGAATATTAAAAAAACCTTGAAGATCGCTAGTATTTTTTATTTTTATTTTTTAAAAATGTGACGGAATTTCGATAATTTTTTGTGTTTTCTTTTTGAAACAATTTGAAAAGACCTTGGAGGCTCTTGATGCTCTATTTTTCAGAGTTCGAAAGAGTCTTAAGGACCTTTAGAATATTTTTTTTTTAATATGAAAACATATTGAAGATTTTTTTGAAACAATTTGAAAAGGATCTTGGAGACTCTTGATGTTTTTCTTAAGAGTTTGCAAGAGTCTTAAGGGCCTTTATGGCATTTTTAAATTATGAAAAACCTTGAAGATTTTTTGTTCTTTCTCTTTGAAACAATTTAAAAATATCTTGGAGGCTCTTGATCTTTTATTTTTAAAACAGTTTGAAAGAGTCTTGGGGGTCTTTAGTGCCTTTTTAGGAATGTGGAAAAACCTTGAAGATCCTTAGTGTATTTATTTTAAAAAAATATGACGGAAACTTGAAATTTTTTTATTTTCTCTTTGAAACAATTTAAAAAGATCTTGGAGGTTCTCGACGTTATATTTTTAAAGAATTTGAAAGAGTCTTAAGAGCCTTTAGATCTTGGTTAAGAATATGAAAAAAAAATAGGGGCCTTGGTGTCTTAATTTTAAGAGATGTGACGGTATCTTGAATATTTTTTGGTTTTCTCTTTGAAACAATTTTGAAAAGATTTTGGAGGCACCTGTTGTTTTATTTTTAAAAGAGTTGGAAAGAGTCTTAGGAGCCTTTAGGGCCTTTTTTAAAAATATATAAAAACCTTGAAGATCCCTAGTGTCTTTGTTTTTAAAAATATGACGGAATCTTGAATTTTTTTTTATTTTGTCTTTGAAACAATTTAAAAAGATCTTGGAGGTTCTCGACGTTATATTTTTAAAGAATTTGAAAGAGTCTTAAGAGCCTTTAAGATCTTGTTTAAGAATATGAAAAAAAAATCGGGGCCTTGGTGTCTTAATTTTAAGGGATGTGACGGTATCTTGAATATTTTTTGTGTTTTCTTTTTGAAACAATTTTGAAAAGATCTTGGAGGCACCGATTGTTTTATTTTTAAAAGAGTTGGAAAGGGTCTTAGGAGCCTTTAGGGTCTTTTTTAAGAATATAAAAAAACCTTGAAAATCGCTAGTATTTTGTATTTTTATTTTTAAAAATGTGACGGAATTTCGATAATTTTTGTGTTTTCTTTTTGAAACAATTTGAAAAGACCTTGGAGGCTCTTGATGTTCTATTTTTCAAAGAGTTCGAAACAGGCTTAAGGGCCTTTAGGATCTTTTTTTTAATATGAAAACATATTGAAGATTTTTTTGAAACAATTTTGAAAAGATCTTGGAGGCTCTTGATCTTTTATTTTTAAAACAGTTTGAAAGAGTCTTAAGAGCCTTTAGGGTCTTTTTTAAGAATATAAAAAACCTTGAAGATCGCTGGTATTTTTTATTTCAATTTTTTAAAAATGTGATGGGATTTCGACAATTTTTTTTGGTTTCTTTTTGAAACAATTTGAAAAGACCTTGGAGGCTCTTGATGTTTTATTTTTCAAAGAGTTCGAAAGAGTCTTAAGGGCCTTTAGGATCTTTTTTTTAATATGAAAACATTTTGAAGATTTTTTTGAAACAATTTAAAAAGGATCTTGGAGACTCTTGATGTTTTTTTTTAAGAGTTTGAAAGAGTCTTAAGGGCTTTTATGGCCTTTTTTAAAATATGAAAAACCTTGAAAATTTTTTATGCTTTCTCTTTGAAACAATTTGAAAAGATCTTGGAAGCTCTTGATCTTTTATTTTTAAAATAGCTTGAAAGAGTCTTAAGAGCCTTTAGGATTTTTTTTAAAGATTTTTTGTTGTTTTCTCTTTGGAATAATTTGAAAAGATTTTGGAGGCTACTGATGTTTCATAATTAAAAGAGTTTGAAAGAGCCTTTTTTAAGGATATAAAAAAACCTTCAAGATTTTTTGTGTTTTCTCTTTGAAATAATTTAAAAATAGCTTGGGGGCTCTTGATATATAATTTTTAAAGAATTTGAAAAAGTCTTAGGAGCCTCTAGAATATGACGGAATATTGAAAATTTTTTGTGTCTTTTCTTCGAAACAATCGGAAAAGATCTAGAAGGCCCCTAATATTCCGTTTTTAAAAGAGTTAAAAGTTTTAAAGGCCCTTGGTGTCTTTTTTAATAATATGAAAATATCGTCAGTGTTTCTGGTGACTTTTTTTTAAAGAAAGTGACAGAATTTTGAAAATCTTTTGTGTTTTCTCTTAGGGGCCCTTTGTTTCTTTTTTAAGAATATGAAAAAGCCTTGAAGGTTTCTGGTGTCTTTATTTTTATACAATGTGACGGAACTTGAAAATCTTTTGTGTTTTCTCGTTGAAACAATTTGAAGAGATCTTGGAGGCTTCTGGTGTTTTATTTTTAGAAGAGTTTGAATGAGCCTTTTTTAAGAATATCAAAACCTTGGGGCTTCTTGGTGTCCTTTATTTTTAAAGAATGCGACAAGATCTTTAAGATCTTTTGTGTTTTCTCTTTAAAACAATTTGAAAAGCCCTTGGAGGCTCTTAATGTTTCGTTTTTAAAAGCGTTTAAGAATCTTAGGGGCTATTAGTGTCTTTTTTTAAGATTATGAAAAAACCTTAATGGTCCCAGCCCTGGAGTCTTTATTTTTAAAGAATGAGACTGAATCTTAAAAATCTTTTGTGTCTTCGCTTTGAAACAATTTAAAAAGTATTGGAAGCTCCTGTTGTTCTATTTTTAAAAAACATTTTGAAAGATTTATGAGGGCCTTTAGGGTTTTTTAACAACACTAAAAAAACCTGGGGATCTTTGGCGTCTTTATTTTCGAAGAAAGTGACGCGACCTTTAGAATCTTTTGTGTTTTGTTTTCGGAGCAATTCGAAAAGATCTTGGAAGCTTTTAATGTTTCGTTTTTAAAAGAGTCTAAGTGTGGTTTCTTGGTTAGTTTGTCATTTATTCTAAGAGAAATAATTATAGGTTATGGATTTGAAGTTATTCTTTCTTTATTAGGCAAGTAAGTGGAAAATGTTTATAATTTTTTAAAGTTTTACACAAAAACAGTAGAAGTCTTTTTTTGGAAACAATTTAGATTAGCGGGAAAATAATTTTCAAAAATTGTCAAAAAAAGCTAAATAATTATTGCACGGAAGCGAGCTCGTTTTTGTCGTGTGACGCCACATATTCTCGTATTGCTTAACGAACGTCGAAGACCAGGTGCGTTTTTTGGTTAGTTTGTCATTTATTTCAATTAATTTTTCAAATTTCATCATCAATAAAACCATTTTTGCGAGGTTTAGTTTAGTTATTGTCACAACCCATTAATTATAGAACCGAATATTTCGCGCCACCTGGACGCAACACCCTCGCCGTAAAATTGAATAACCCGATTCTTGTCGAGCAAACAAGTCAATATTATTTTTGCATAATAAAAACGTGCACACAAATACGTCGAGCAGACAGCCGGACTACGTTCTACGCGAATATGTAAATCCCGCACAAATACCCGCCGACTCTTTTTTTGCTAAACTTTCCCCCAGCCGCCACTTTACCGCTAAGTGTTTCCAAAACAAGGAAAAGCCTGACTCGACTCTTTCGACGAAACCTCGCCGAAAACAAACAAGCTCCCGCTTACGTAAGCCGGCTGTAATACGGCCTAAGTTCGCAACAACAACAACAAGAAACTCACACTTACCCCGCCTTTCTCACCGCACCGGTGCAGTTGAAAGATGCTGCAGCAGTCCCCGTCTGCTTGGCTTTGTAAGGGGAGTTCATGACGCTCTCGCCGTCATCCTCGTCGGACACGGCTGTCGTCAGCGACATGCGATCATCGTCGGATATCTGAAAGAAACAGACGAAATATAGAGAAACTGCCGTACCCGGTTATGTAACCAGTAAGTTCAAATGGATATTGATCTTTAAAATTTTACGTACTATGCGCGTATTGCTGGTGTATACATGGGGTGTAAAAGACGCTGTAAAACTCTCAAAATGTTACGGTCGTTAATTTTATGCGTTATAAAAATCCGGTCATATTTTCACGTATCAGCGGGTATGCGGAAAATTTACCGAAAACAATTGGACGAATTTCGATAAAATTTATTGGAGCGTTTCGGATCTTGAACGCTGGGGCGAAGGCTTATGATGTATTTATGTAGTTACTGGCCTATGAAAAATTATCGGGAGGGTCTGGGTCGGTTGGGCCAAAACAACGTTTTTTGTGGATTTTCAAGCTAAAAATAGTTGCTGTAGGGATAAAATTATATTCTTAGTATTTTAAAATAATTTGACTATTAAGCACGTACAGATAAGCATCACCAGCGACGGAAGAAGAAAAAACTCAGCTACAGTTTACACAAAGTTCGAATCGAAATTATTCTGCGTGACATATATTTCCCATTAAAGATAGCTCCAATCGTATAATTTTCGCTTAAACTAAGTAACAATTTTTGTTTAGACTGAGATATCTCGCACGACAGGAGTTAAATTGTGTATATCAGTGCATCAATCTGCTATTTCGTGTCCATTATTTAAACGTATCACGATCTAGTTCGTGCCACAATCTCTGCCATGCAACTCAAATATTATTATTATACTATTCCCACATGGTGTAGTCAAGCAGAACACCCCATCTATTAATCAATTTACAAATGACTGAACGTCAACACTGGCCGCTCTCCATCTGCTATCCATCATAATCGGACCGCTTTCGGGTCAAGTAGTTTTTGATCCGGGAAAGGGGAAGGTAAATATTGCCAAGGTGGTTAAAGGGGTTGTCCAAAGTTGGGGTTTAAAATAAATTCTGAAAGCATCCAAAACGTAAACTTTATTTTCAAGAATTAAATCCATTAAGTCGAAACTAAATATTTTTCTGCTCAGCACAGGATTCGTTTCGGACCCATGTAATAGACACAATAAATAACAAATCATTTCGGTCTTAAGCTTCGACTCGAATAATGAAAACTCTAAAAGTATCTTTTTACAGGCCCTCGAAATTCGATCGCGGAAAATGGGCTTTCCTCCTCCTCCGCGAATATAACTTCCAATTAAAAGTTGGAAGTTGATCGCAACGGCTGTAAAACAATACTTAACCGGAGAATAAAGCCGAATTAATGCACTTTTCGCTCAAATTAAAAAACTGTAGCGCTTTTGAGTGACGTTTGAATAGAAATTTCCAAAAAGTTGAAATTAATTGAGTTAATTAGGAAACTTCATGCATTGCATTCTGTAATTACGAACATGATACAAAATTCGTAAATAAATTCTATTTTTGGCTTAACCTTTCGGTTCGTGACGTTCCGGTCCAATTAGCATTAGTGCATACAAGAGACGCAATTGAATTGCATCAATACACGAATAAAATAAATCTACGCATCGTAACATCATTTTAATACAGGCGATTTTCCGGGAATTACGTTTGTTAAAATTGCACAAAATTAAACTAAAATTAAAACCGAATTTGCTGAAACAATGAAATTGATGGTTTCGTTGAAGTTCGACTAATTTATTTTGAAACGTGTGCACGACTGCAGATTAACAAATAACGAAATTGTGGTGGCGGAAATTTCCGACAACGCTGTGATAGATTTTTCAATTTGTGACAGGTTTACCATTTATTTGAATAATAATTTTTATCTCTGCCCTTTGCGTTTAATTCCGTCCAGTTTTTATCTCCGCGTGCGGATTATTCAGTGTGTGGAATTGTGTGAATTCAAAATTAATTATTACAATATATTAACTAGGCAATTATTGAATAATTTTTAATTACCTCTCATAATTGACTAAAGGAAACTAATTCAGAAGACGACAGGACAACAGCGAAAGAGAGAAGTCATTAAAAGCGGCTAAATTTAGCTCAAACTCATTTGTTTTGTTGAAATGTGGTTTATTTTCGTTGGACGAATGACAAGGGATATAAAAAATTAATAAATTGGTTTTAGGAACATTTCATCTCATTTCTTAATAATGTTGGTAACACCGTAATCCCGCAATTCGTATTACCAACCGCTAAAAGCTGTTCCAAAAATTGTTTAACCCAAAATCGCAGAGAATTTACTATCTCTGTTGACTCCAAAGGAAAAGAGAATGAAAGAAAGAGAAGAGAAATTGAGAATGGCAAAAGAGCTGATAAAAGATGAAAAATAGAGAAAGAAATAAACAAGAGCGAAAGGCGAAAAGGTAGAAAAAGGGAAATAAGAAAAAAAAAAGATCAAAATAAAAAAACAAAGATAGATTGGGAGAGGCAGAAAGAGAATACCGAAGGACAAGAAAAGAAAAGGAGAGTGGTGGAGAAGAGACAAGAAGAGAGGGAGAAGAAAAACCGGGAGAAAAGGAACACGTAAAGAAGGAAGAGGAGTGAAAGCACAAAAGAATCTTTGAAATTTTAAATATAGGGAGAGAAAATGAGAAGGAAAGTAGAGAGGAAGTAAAAGAGAATGAAAACAGAAGAAAGATAAAGATCTAGAGGAAGAGAGAAAGAAGGAGTCAAAAAATAAAATTTCAAATTAAAAAACTATTATAGACTGGAACAAGTAGAAGAAAAACCAGGGGAAAAGAAACAGGTAGAGAAAAATAAACAGAGGAAGTGCGAGTAAAAGAGAGCACGAAATATTCAACGAAATCAAGAAACGAAGGGAAGAGTGGGGAAAATCAAATGCAAAGAGAATGAGAATAAAAGCAACAAAATGCATTAAGAAAGGGATGAGAGAGTGAGAGAAGGAAAGAGATATTGAAAAAAGGAAAAGGGATAACGAAAGAACAAAAATATAGAGAAATAGAGAATGAAAGAAATAATAGTGAAATGTAGGGGATAAAGGTAGAACCGGGGAAATAAAAAAGATTGGTTGAGGTAGAAATAGAAAAGGATACCGAAGGAAAAGAAACATAAGGAAAGTGGGTAAGATGATATAGAAAGAACACTTGGGGAAAGATAAATCAAAGGAAGTCGTAATGAAAGTGAGTACGAAAGAATCAATGAAATTAAAAAAGAGCGAGCTAAAACCGACTTCAAAACGTTAGCCAATGACTAAGAAACAGAGAAACGTATGAGTAAATAAAAAAGAGACGATGAGCAAATATAAAAAGAAATTGAGAAAACAAATAAAAGAGGAGTGGAGAGGAAACAACTAGAGAGTGGAAAAAGAGTGAAAAAAGGGGGAAAGAATGAAGGAGAGGAAGTGGAGAGAAAACAACATAGATTGAAACTAAAGAAAGGTCTAAAGAAAAAGAGAATGAAAGAAAGAAAAGAGAGAGTGAAAAGTACAAAAGGGATGATAAAAGAAGTAATATATGAAGAGACAGATAGTGATAAAAACCAAAGTGAAAAAGGAGTGGGAAAAGAATAAAGAAAACATTTTTCTCTAAGCTGTGAACTCGAAAAATGGGAAAATTAAAAAAGAAATTGAAAAACTGAAAATTTTAGAAAGGCACAAACTGAAAAATCGAACAATTGAAGAAGAAAAAAAGTCAAAAATCCTTAAATTGAAATATCGATAAATTGAGACATCGAAAGTTGAAAAATCGAGAAATCGAAAATACGAAAAATTCTACAATTATGATGTTTCATTTTTGTTTCCAAAAATCTTGATGTGGAAGATAAAAATTCAACACGGATTCATAGATCACAAGCTCAGGATTGTAATTTGAGCAGGATTTTTTAAACTATTTTTCCTTGGCTCTATACATATCTAACGTGTCATAGACTTAAGTGTCATTGATGATCACCCTGTATTTATGGGCGTTAACATAAAGAAATGTTTGCAGAATCATTTAGCTGAAAAAATGATCAAAAAAATGGAAAATCAAACTAATGAAAAATTATAAACAAAAAAATTCAGAAGGTGAAAACTCGAAAAATTTTAAAATTAAAAACTAGAAAAATTACAAAGCGAAAAATCAAAAAACGAGAGGTTAAACAATCGAGAAATTAAAAATCTATAAACAAAATTCGCAAATTTGGCCATTAAGAATTCTGGAAAAAGTCGAAAAATCAAAATATTGAAAAATTCCAAAACTAAAATATCAAAAAAATAAAACATGAAAAAAATGAGAAACCGAAAACTAGAAAAATCGAAATATTGCAGAATTGAAAAAGTGAAAAATCAAAATTTTGTGAAGCCCAGAAATCGAGATATGAAAAAATTGAAAAGTTTAAAATTTGCAAAAATTAAATTACCGAATAACTGAAAAATCAAGAAGCCAAAACATCAAAAAATCGACGACTTGGAGAATTAAAAAAGAGAAAAAAAGAATCAAAAAGTCGAAAAATGGAAATATTGAAACATTCCAAAGCTGAAATATCAAAACATTGAAAAATGGAAGAAAAATTATAGAACTGAAAAACTGAAAAATCAAAAAATTGAAAAATTCGAAAACTGAAAGATCGAAAAATTGCAAATTCGAAAAATTGAAAAATCGAGAAACCGAAAAGTCGAAAAATGAAACTCGAAAAATCGAAGTGTTGAAGAATTGAAAAACTGTAGTATGGAAATTTTGAAAAGCTGAGAAATGGAGAAATAGGAAATTTAAAAAACCTATTAACCGAGAAATTGAGAAATCGGAAAATCGAAAATTTAGCAACATCGAAAATTGAAACATTGAAAAATTGAAAAACTCAAGAAGAAAAAAAACTCAAAAATCCTAAAACTGAACATGAAAAAAATGAGAAACCGAAAACTAGAAAAATCGAAATATTGCAGAATTGAAAAAATGAAAAATCAAAATTTTGTGACGCCCAGAAATCGAGATATGAAAAAATTGAAAAGTTTAAAATTTGCAAAAATTAAATTACCGAATAACTGAAAAATCAAGAAGCCAAAACATCAAAAAATCGACGACTTGGA